GAATCGAAAAGGGGTAATGTTTCATCATGACAATGCGCGACCCCACACAGCAAGAATTACGTCACAAAAGATCGAAGAACTTGGTTGGGAGAAAATTCCTCATTCACCTTATTCTCCCTATCTTGCTTCTTCAGACTACCATTTGTTTTGTAGCTTACATAATCATTTGAAAGAAACAGCTTTTGTAACACAGGAAGAGGTTAAAACTGACATTTGTGAGTTCTTCGAATCAAAGCCCAAAGGATTTTACAGTAATGGAATTAGTAAGCTTGTTAATAGATGGAAGGAAGTCATAGATAATCAGGGAAAATACATTGTTGATTGAATCTGTAATTAAATGTAAAATTTGGTCACTTGTTTTCTTAAAATTCGGACAGAACTTATAAGATGACATGATAGATCAGCTGCTAAGAATGTTGGTTCATTGCGTCGTGCTAGACAGTTTTTCTCGCCAGAATCTTCTTATATATATATATATATATATATATATATATATATATATGTCTACCATTTTTTCTTGCCTTGAATATTCCTGTCACACCTGGTCTGGTGCTTCTACTACGTATTTAGAAATTCTTGATAAAATGCAAACAAGAATCTGCAACGTTATCCGTCCTGACTTTAAAAAAAATTAAATGCAATATCAATTGCTATCTTCTGTCCTCTTAATTCCTCTGATTTTATTGTTCTCCCCACTCAATAATGTTTTGTTTTTTTCTCATATTCTCTAACACTCAGCAAACCAATATATATATATATATATATATATATATATATATATATATATATGTATATATCTCGTGCAATGGGCAAATTGTTGCCATTTTATATTTGTAATTTTTAAAATAAATTGTCGACTGCACAGTATAGTAAGGTCAGTTAGGCACCGTATGTGAGAAAAAGAGTACCATGATGCAATTCACTGCACCGGAAATTTGGCATGTAGTACTGATTGGCATTCTCACCGGAAGCTCCAATACGAACATTTCAGATTGTTTGGGTGTCAATCTGAGGACAGTGCAGAGGATTCGGAAAGAGTTGGATGAGTCTAATGGTGATTACGAAGGTATGGCAGCTCGGAAAACTCACCCTGATCGTTTTGATAAGAAAAGAACTACGGAATTTGTTGGTGAGGACGCCAGACAAGTAGTAGAATTGACCGTCAGACAATTTCTACAACATCACTCCTTACATGTGGCTGACTGCTACAACCTTGACTATTATGTGTGAGGCGCAGTTGAGCGAGAGACCAGAAAAACTCCTTGTACCACTAAAGATGAATTGAACGCAAGGATTATGACAGCATTCACCAACTTAAACAAAGAGACCGTTCAGAAGAGTTGCAGGAGATTCCGAAATCGTCTGGAGGTCGTGACTGAAGCCAATGCTAGTTTTATTGAGTAAATTTTCTCTTTAGTATTTCAAAAGTTTTTTTGTGTAATTTCGATAAATACATTTGTCAAATGAAATGTCAGTATCATTTTCATTTTTTCGTAATTTAAATTTAAACGACAATTCATCCCTCGCATCCACACCCACACACCCATATATATATATATATATATATATATATATATATATATAAGCAAGTGTAAATGGATATAAATCCGACAGAATGAAGAATTCAAAGTATATCGTAAACCTACATGTAAAAATGACTATTTACATTTTTACTCTCACCATGATACTAACACTAAGAGGGGTATTGTTATTGGATTCTATTTAAGGGCTCTTCGCATCTGTTCATCAAAATATTTAAATGATGAATTCACATATATTGAGGATACCTTTTCAAATCTTTCGTATCCGAGACAATTATTACAGAGAGATAAAAATAAAGCGTTGAAAATTCACTCATCAGCGCAAAATGACACCTCGAAGGCCACTACAACTACATCAATGAAAGATACAATTTCAGCTGCCTCTGATAATATTTCGTTTGGTCGCATCTTTTTACCAAATAACCATTTGACCGAACGTATCTCTCATAATCTAAATGCATTAAAAATTAGAACTACTATATTACCTACTAGAACTATCCGTAGTTTATTAAATAGCACCAGCAGACAACATATTAGATCCGATGCTTGCATCTATCAAATATCATGCAAAAACTGTGACATAAAATATGTGGGTGAAACATGTAGGTCCGTAAAATCTCGTGTTTTCGAACATAAACGAGATATTCGCCTCGGAAATTTTAACAATGCTTTAGTTGTACACACAACTAAAACAGATCATAATTTCGATTTCGATTCCGTGAAAGTATTAAAATATTTTCATAATAAAAATCTCAGGAGGATTTATGAAGCAGGTATAATATCCATCTCACGCACAGTGAATACTAGACCTGGTTTCTTTAATATTTCCCCTTTTTTAGCGAGATTGATGCTCGACAAGCATACACATAAAAATTTTAGAACCTAATAGAATTCTTTTCATTTTCTTTTTCATTTCAAAAGAATCACAAACTTTTAGGAATACGTTTTGAAAGCGTCGCCCATGTGACGACGGCGTGACCATGTTAGACGGAAAGCTGATCGTTTTAAAAATTTTCAGCTATCTGTTTTGGATAAGACTTGTGTTTTTTATGTCCATCATATTCAACTGTATTGTATTTTAATGAATATTGTCTTGAAAAAGGTTTATTAAACCGAAACGTCAGACGTCGACATTTCATTCATTTTAAACAACATTTAAGGATTTTGTTTGTTTTTTTTCAAAATTTTTCTTTTTATATATATATATATATATATATATATATATATATATATATATATATAAAATAAAAACAGACCACTTTAAGGTTCTATGTAATAATTATTACACCACAGCGCTTTTAAAGGACTGCGGATCATCAGACTTGACTTTCCAAACAAAACAAAAAAAATTTTTTTGTTTGGAAGTAAAGTCTGATGACCCGCAGTCCTTTTAAAAGGGCTGTGGTGAAATAATTTATGACATGGAACCTTAAAGTGGTCTGTTTTTATTTAAAGTATTTGCTCTGGATTTACATTGAGCTCTCTGGATTTTATCCTCTTTAGGTTTACCCATACGGATTACCTAGTTTTCATAAACTATATATATATATATATATATATATATATATATATATATATATATATATATGTATGTATGTGTGTGTGTGTGTATGTGTGTATATATATATATATATATATATGATATAACGATATTTATTTTTATATATAAAGAAAAATATTGGGGAAAAATATATGACAATTTGGAAAAAGTTTTCGCGTGACGCGTTTCGTCCTTCAGTTATGTTGGCGTGACTGCACATGCGCACGAACGAGGAATCTTGGAAATTTTTTATTTTAAAATTTTAATTTTTTTTTATCTAGCTGATTTCATTTAGATTTATTTTTTCTTTTTGTTTTCACTTAAATGAAATTGTTTAAATCAGCGCTTCAAAAACTACCTGATATGACGGACCGGAATTTTTTTTTTCTCAATGTGTCACCTACCTTAATTTATACCGGAAACGACACACACACACACACACACACACACACACACACACACACACACACACACACACACACACACACACACACACAAATGTATATATAATGAATATAATATGAATGTAATAAAAGTTGACTATTTGTTATTTTCCATTTCTGTTGCAAAAAATATTTCAATATCAAAACATATAAAAAGTAATAAAATATAAGTAGTTTAATAACACAAAAACAAACATTATATAACCTTAATATTTACAAATGATTCGTTAGAATGGTATGGACACTGGCCACGTACCGGTAGCTGATATCTGGCGTACCGGCACCGGTCCGCGGACCGCGACTCTTACTGGGCTAGACAAAGAAAATTTAAAATTTAAAATGCTTAGCATTTCTAGTTTGTCCGCATGTGTAGTCCAATGAAGTCCTGAAGGACGAACGCGTCACACGAAAGATTTTTCAAATTTATCATATATTCCCACCCTCATATATATATATATATATATATATATATATATATATATATATATGTGTGTGTGTGTGGTGGGCGGGACGTAAACGTAAACGTCGGTTTTAATTATGCATCGAAGTCAAACACTGAAGATGTGGGAAGGCTAAACTTAAAATTTTTAAAATAGATCCTATTCGATTTTTTTTTTTAAATTAAAAATTTAATGTCGATTACATTCAATTCCGCAAAGCTTTTGTTGTTGTTTTTATTTCTGTTGTTTTTTCAATATCCCATACTGCGATAAGATTTTTAAAAAAATCTTTGGATATATAATAATACTGACGGCAGATGCCACACAATGCCGCCTGACATATATTTGGTAAACCCAACACCTTTATTGCTTCTCAATGTGGTAAAAGGATCGGCTTTGACACAAAATCAGATATCAGTCGATATAGGTTAAGATCTGATTTCTGAATTAAACATCTTGCTATTGGCTCAGGCGCCTGAATGAAAGATCTTGCGATTGGTTCAGGCGCCAAATCGACTTATAAGCACTGATTTACCTTTGTTGATTCGTTCGCCATTCATGTTTTTGGCAGCGTCCGTTCGCCATCGCCGGTGGTAATGTTCTCTCTGCTTCACGATTTCGTCGACAGCGTCCCAGAAATTATCGGGATTGACGACGTCTATCAATAAGAAAGAGAGAAAAAAAAACACGTTAATAAAAACCAAAAATAAATGATTGGTTCTGAAATAAAAAAAAACATTTAAAATAGAAGAAAGTAAAATAAACAAATAGTTAATGCAGCCGGTAATATCATGAATTGATTAAACAAATAGATGAAGACTATTCTTTTAATAATTACAGATACAAGGTTACTCAGGAAAATAAGTAGCCAATATCGCGTGAGAAACCTTGGTGTGAATCTATGTACAAACACTGAGGCTGTGCAACATTACTTAGTGAGTTTGTGTAATGTTTTGCATACACAATGATCGAGAAATTAAATTGTTCTGTCGGCAGGACTAAGAATACACCGACTGAATATCCATGGGATAAGACTATGAATACACCGACTGAATCTCTCTGGGGTAAGACTAAGAATACACCGATTGAATCCCCCAGGGCTAAAACTAAGAATACACTGACTGAATCTCCCCGGGGTAAGACTAAGAATACAACGACTGAATCTCCCCGGGGTAAGACTAAGAATACAACGACTGAATCTCCCAGGAGTAAAAATAAAATACACCTACTGAATCTTCCAGGAGTAAAAATAAAATATACCGACTGAATCTCCCCGGGGTAAAACTAAGAATACACTGACTGAATCTCCCAAGGGTAAGGTTTATCTACTAAAAATTCGACGTTCTGTTTCAGGTGTAAAATGGAGTAATTTTTAACCGTTCACTCAAGTTTAAAAGTGATCAATATTTCACTTTTGATTCCAATATAATAATAAAAATAAAAACAACAAAAAAATTCGACATTGAACGACCAAACAGGATTTGATTTAATAAAATTCACCAATCCAGACAGAATACATTTTGTATTTTTATAAATTTCCCATTCGCCCGTGCATTATTGTTGCCACATCTGATCAGGTGCTTCTGTTAGGTACCTCTTAAAAATTTTCTTGATAAAATCCAAAAGAATAATCTAAAAAATTATCGGTACCTCGGCTTCAGTCAATTTCCACTGGCATAACGTGGCTGCTCTGTGTCATTTCTATAAACATTTTAAGGCAATTTCTCTGACGAGCTTTCCTCTTTCGTACCTCGTCTTTATGAATTCAAGCGCAGTACTAGATTGGCAGCTAGGTCTCATCATTTTCATTAATTGCTGCTGAAGTATGTGTCTCTTCATATAATGCTAGAATATACTTTGCCTCTCAGAGGTCAGGTTGCGAGTTTACTGCACAATTCTACAATCACTGCACAATGCTACAAATGACAAAACCTGAGGAAAAAAAGAAGGGCGTACATATGTATACTTAATGAAAACATTTTCCGCAAAAAGCCGGCTACAATCCTAATCGTGGCAAACGACTCGTCAACCTCTGCAAATGACCTAACTCAATTTTTAACATCTTCTCTCATCACGCTTCTATTTGGTCAAAAGTCAAACTAATATAGAATAAATATTATTAGTCTTATTATCAATAGTCTGATTTTTATTGTTTTTTATCTCTCGAATTTCTTTCATCAGCCTATTATATCTACATATTATGAAAAGCATATGTGGACAATCTGTCTTTATTACTCTATTTACAGGCTGATTGAAAAGTAACTCCCTGTTTTATGTATGATGAACTCTCCCCTCTTGTAAAAGTTATCGTTAGACGAGAGATGAGACAAATATAGTTTTAAGCTATGTTGTAAGAAATTCTGCAATTTAAGCTCCTATTGGCTAATTTTGTAACGACCAATCTCATTGGTCGAATTTTGACTTGGTTTTTTCGCGGGCATTTTACAACAGCTCGCGCCCTTTTGACTCAGTTGCGGGTTAGCATTGGAAGTGTCCGGACTCATTTTGAATCTATTTGTTAGCGCCCAAGCCTAAATAATTAGGCATTGAATGTCCTTCAGCAACCAAAATGGTAATGCTTCAGAGACTGTTGTGGAATATTATTGGAATGGTCCGGACTCACTTTGAATTTCTTTGCACGGCCTTTTAAGTCTAAGCCTAATAATTAGGCATTGAAGATTTCCTTCAGCAACCAAATGGTAATGCTTCAGTCGACTTCATGTCCCATCTTATTTCCTTCAAGGCTGGAGAAGATTCCTTTCAGCAACCAAATGGTAATTGCTTCAGAGACGACGCCATGTTCCAGCATCTTATTTCCTTCAAGGCTGTATAATTCAGTCATTTATTGACTGTCGTCAAATGTGTACGTTTACACGAAGAACTTTATGAACAAACTCGACAATAGCCGAGTTTCAACTTCAGCAACCGAAATGGTAATGCTCCAGCAACGACCAGCTAATGACAGCTTTTCTAACCTCGTAGTGACCGATTGTGTCCTGCAGAAGTAAAAAGACACTACCTATCCATTGAAGAACTACCTACCCTGTTCCCAGGGCAAAAAGGCAAAATCTTTTTTGAAAGGATACAATAAAATTTGTTTTAAGTTTTATGGTAGGCCTTGTTGAACTGTTTGTCTTTCTTGTCTCTGCCAAGGGTTAAACTGTGTGAGAAGAAATTCTCACATAGTTAAGTGAGTTAAGTAGAGTATTAAGAGACAGTAAAACTTCGTCAGAAACAAAGAAAAGAGGACTGAGTATAAAGGGTGTTCCAATAAGTTGGATCGATTTTAAATGTGAATTAACTTTAAACGTCTAATGATTTTTTTTCTTTTTCTTTCAGATTTAACAACTCAAGTCTTTGGCAATTTCAACCATGGAAAGATTAATGATCAGAAAACGTGTTAAAGTTATATATAGTTATAACGAAAATGGACGTTCAAACAGAATTTGAATGAAAAGTTCCCAGGTTGGATCATCTCTTGAAACAGCGTCACCACGATCGTCCGACTTGACGTCTTTAGATTTCTTCCTTTGTGGTCATCTCTAAAGTATGGTCTATACTAAGCCAACAACAATTCAACAGCTGAAGGAGGAGATATAAAGCATATTGGTGAGATTGAGGAGCAACTATAGAGAGACGTCATCAAAAATTTTGACCGGATATCTGGGCGATATTATTTTTCACACATAAATGCCATATATATATATATATATATATATATATATATATAGATAGATAGATAGATAGATAAATAGATAGATAGATAGACACATAGACATAGATAGATACACGATCTGTAAAATTTGAAACCCAAAGAGGTCTAAAAACAGGATATTTTTCCATGATGTCATTCGCACACCAAAGCTTACGTTTGGCGCCAAACATGATCAAGCGCGACTTACGTCTCAGAATCTACTTCCGTTATTTACCAATTAAGCACTGTTATAGCAGAGTAGAAAAAGGCGTTGGGCTTCTTAGAGACACACTTATTACTCCTATTCAAGGATAGTTTGTTTATTATTCGAGGTTAAAGACAAATATTAAACAACATTACACCTTTTTTGTTGTGTTCTACACACAAGACTTGTATTATTGTTAGGAAATCGGACAAATTAGGAGAAACGAATGAGTTTTCAATAAGAGAATAAATCAATCCATCACATTCTATTCATATCTATCTATCTATCTATCTATCTATCTATCTATCTATCTATCTATCTATCATTATCTATCTCTCTCTCTCTCTCTCTCTATATATATATATATATATATATATATATATATATATATATATATATATATATATATATATATATTGATATCTACCTGTTTCTCTCTTCTCTCTCACGTTCTTTCTCTCTCACGTTCTTTCTCTCTTTCTTCCTTTCCCCGTTATCTCTCTCTTTATATAAATATTTTCTCTCTTTCTCTCTCTTTCTTTCTCTCCTGACTCTCTCAACCACTCTCTCTCTCTCTCTCTCTCTATCTATCTATCTATTCATCTATCTATCTTTCTTTCTTTTTTTCTTTTCTTTCTTTTCTTTCTTTCTTTCTTTCTTTCTTTTTTTTTTCTTTTCTTTTTCTTTCTTTCTTTCTTTCTTTCATTTCATTCCATCTCATTATATATATATATATATATATATATATATATATATATATATATATATTGATATCTATCTATCTATCTATCTATCTATCTATCTATCTATCTATTTCTTTCTTTTCTCTCCGACTTTTTCAACCCCTCTCTTTTTCTCTCTCTCTATATATATTGATGTATATATATCTATGTTTTTTTCCTTCTTTTTCTCTTTCTTTCTCTCCCCACTATCTTTCTTTCTATATATATATTTATATATTGATATCTATTTATTTATATATGTTTCTCTATATGTATTTATCTATTTATCCAGCTAGATAATAAAATGTTCAACATAATTTCTTTATTTTATTTTTCTTATTACTATACACACATATACACACACACACACACATACATACATACATACATACATACATATATATATATATATATATATATATATATAAACATATATATACATATATATATATATATATATAAACATATATATATATATATATATATATATATATATATATATATATAGGGCAGCAAATATATGTCTAAACAACTTAATTAAATTCAAGTAACAATGTTTGTTTCATTTTTAATTGTATTTTTCCAAGTTTTTTGAATAATATGCTGTATAGTGGAATTTAAATTTGGAAAAACTGTTCGAACTTCATGTTTGTTCTTTTGTTTTCTTCAACTCCTTTCCACTGTTCATGTCATTTTCAAGAACCCTGTAGTGTCCAGGTGCTTGGCAAGATTCCATTGCCTTTATTTTTTCGTTAAAAATGAAAAATGCATTGACTGAAAAATGCAGTAAAATGAAATGCATTTTCAATGCATATATATATATATATATATATATATATATATTAAGACATGTTTCATTAAATAATTTAGACAAGTTTTGTCTACTTATTTTCAATATGATCTTCTTATATTCACGGACAAGCTTCTTAGTATCTTTATTAAAGGAAGGGAGAAAATTATCATGTTGAAACATATTCATTCATTCCAAGTACTTTCGACATTAGTACAATGCCATCATCAGGGTGGTTTTTTATAAGATAAAATTGCTGCGTTCATCGGAAATTTAATTTTTTTAACTGTGATATGAAAAACGCTAGGGTTATGATCTGTACGATTCAAATTTCACGATGTAAACGTCAGATGATATAACTAGGTATGGAATGTCCATATGTTAATATATATATATATATATATATATATATATATACATACACAGATACACACATACACGCAGGCGCGCCCGCACACACACACACACACACATATATATATATATATACACACAGGTTAGATGAGCAGTAGTCCTTCTTTTATACTTGTTTCGTTAAATGTGATGTTTAACGAAAATTTTATATTTTTGAATCTGTTTTTCTAGTTTTCTTATATATTGTATAAGTCACATTCAACGAAACCCACGCACCTGTGTATATATAGAGAGTGAAAGTGAGAGAGAAATTGAGAGATGTGTTCGTATCTATGAACATCAACCGTATGCACAACAATCTATCAAATGCCTTAGACATATATAGCAATAGATTTAACCAGAACGTAGATCTAAAGAAAGCCACACTTATTAAAAGAGAGAAAGTAATTTAGACCGTCAAAATCAAATCTTACCAAAATATGAATATAAATTTTTCAAATATCTCCTTTCCTAAAAGATATACTTCTTCCCCGACAAAAAATTAAAAAATTAAAAGAAATTCAAAATCTATTATTTAAAATATATAATACATAAATTAATTTCTCAAACTAAAATTATATAAATAACAATTAATCCTGCATTTTTTAACCTGCGAGCAACCGTTTTCCTTGAGATCTTATTATCTGTCTCTTCATTAAATTTACGGGTAATTGATGTAGCAGTTTCAAAACGGTTTTTTGTAGATATTCTAACAATTCTTCGTTAGATGCAAAACCAAAAACCAGCAGACCTTCAAAAACATCGTATGAAACAGACTGTCGTCTCTAAGTGTTGACTTCTATGTTCACTTTTATATTTACACACGCTCTATCTCTGATATTGAGCACTTTATCCCATAAATATAGCACACCTTAAAACTATATTTCTTCATATATATATATATATATATATATATATATATATAATATATTATGGAAAAGATTATAATTGTTCTAACGAGGAAAATATGTATATTTTTAAAAAAAGAGAAACTGCAATGTTGATTTATTTTAGTGTATATATTATATTTTATTCTTCATATTTATATATCATATATATATATGTGTGTGTGTGTGTGTCAAAATTCAGATATAGCTAAAAATATATCTGTAAAAAGACAATATAAATTAAAGAAAAAGGAAAACTTAGCGTGTGTAAATATAAAAGTGAACATAGAAGTCAACACTTAGAGGCGACAGTCTGTTTCATACTAGGTGCAATCTACAGGCCTGACGATTGCATATAGCATGAAACAGACTGTCGCCTCTAAGTTTTGACTTCTATGTTCTTTTTATATATATATATATATATATATATATATAAAACAGAAAATCCTCTGACTTAATCCATTTCATTTATATATATATATATATATATATATATATATATATGTGTGTGTGTGTGTGTGTGTGTGTGTCCAGATTAAAAACTACAGTTCGTAGCATTTACTTTAAAAAAAGTGCTCAATACAAAGTAGAGCAAAATTTAATAATATATTAATTAAAATTATAATATATATTATAATATTATATTATATAAGATAATATATTATATAATACTATATTATCATCTTATAATGAAAAATCTAATCTAATCTATCTATCTATCTATCTATCTATCTATCTATCTATCTATCTATCTATCTATGAATCTATATATATAAACAGTAATATTAAGTACCCAATACACTTGCGATAAAAAAAATAACATGTAGAGCTTTTAACTTTAAAAATAAAGAGATAAGTTTGAATCTGCTGAGTTGGTTTCAACCTTACGGTATCCTCAGGTGATTTTTATCAGTTGGCCTCCTAACGCTTTATTTTTAAAAATAAAGTGTTGGGAGGTCAATTGATGTCGTAAGGTTGAAACCAAGGTAATGGATTCAACTGATCTTCTGATTTTTAAAGTATATATATATATATATATATATATATATATATATATATATATATATATATATATATATATATATATATATATATATATATATACAATTATTGACGAACGTATGCCTGTAGATAAACGCAGCGAAAAAGCACGCTAATTCTGCCTCATAGTTCATCGTAATCCGAAATTTTATGCTTCTTTGCTCATACATAAATATCTGTTCTTGCCGCGACATATTCGCACCTGGTTGGGCACCTCGGCGTGGTATAATGGTTAGCAAGCTTGTCTCGCTAGAACAATTACAGCTGAGTAGTGAGTTCGATCCTCACTGGGTACTCCATACTTCCGGCCTTTTGCCACATCTAAGCAGCGCTTAGAAAATCGCTATTCACACTTGGGTTATTTTCCTAATAGGAAAAGGCATTATTTTATACAAAAGCGGACGTAATTTCTGTCGTTGACGAAAAGCAACAATACGTTTTAGCGGAAATGCCTTGTCTGCGTTTCCAATCGCGAAAAGTTACCACACCCGAAAAAAAACAAAACAAACTTTTCATACTTCAACTGTATTCAGGTGTTGAAATACGAGTTGGCGGTTGATCTGATATGAATAATTATAAATATTGTGAAGATATTTATTTCGAGTTGTTTATTTTTGGGCATCGGTTTGACGGTAGCTTAGCAGACAAGTAGATAGGGTCAACAATAAAACTTCTACTTCCGGCTGTTAAAAAGCTTCCGGTAGAAATATTTCCTTTCTCCAACATTATACTGACCTCTTCTTTCCTCCTTCTCATTTGTTTTCTGTACCAAATACAGTTTTGTTAGTAATATTTAAATATAACTGCTTATGAAAGTCCTGTTATATCGACTAGGATTTTAAAACAAATGTATCAGATCTTTCAATCAGTCTAATCGTTATTTAAAAACTAATCTTGACGAGAAGGAAATACGTGATATATATATTAGTGGTGACTCTATGTGAACCTAGAATGCATAGGAAGGTTTTTTTTTTATATTGAGACCCACTTTAGCTTTACAGGTCTTAGACATCTCAAAGGCGCTTGGGAAAAGGTGGAAAAAGAGGTTGCTACACGAACTATCCTGATCTTCATTGCCATATTCACAACGTTTCGGCCGTTGTACGCTCCGGCCTTTATGTCTATGTATCTCTATATCTCTGTCTATATCTCTGAAATGAGGTATTATGATTACTTTCATTATTTACATTATTCGGACTGTTATCCTCATCTTCATTGCCATATTCACAGCGTTTCGGCCGTTGTATACTCAGGCCTTTATGTCTATGTCTCTCTATATCTCTGTCTATATCTCTGAGATGAGATATTATGATTACTTGCATTATTGACATTATTCGGTCTGTTATCCTCATCTTCATTGCCATATTCACAATGTTTTCGGTTAAGAGGAGTAGCAGTAGCCTTTGTTAAACAGTCACATTCACGGCTAGACATTCTCGTCTCTAGTTCTATTCTACATTATGTTTCTTTGTACCAAAAGGTAATAAACTTGTTAAACCAATTCCGGTTTTCTCTGTTTCGGTAACTAAGTTACAACAATAAGCGACTTCTTTGTTTCCATTTTCTCGAAAATGTCATCGTTGCTAACGTTGTCTACCAGACTGAATATTCGAGAATTCTGATTAAAGAAAAATATGAACATTATTTACATTGTTTGGACTGTTGTTCTCATCTTTATTGTCATGTTCACGACATTTCAACCGTTGTACGCTACGGCCTTCAGGTGATTGAAATTTCGAACTGAACCCTTTATTTCGTCCCTATATTGAATACAATATGGGAACCAGTAATACGGAGTGCTAGAGAAAAGCAATAATAACAAAAAATTGCAATATGAGCTCTGGTAAAAAATCGTTACTGCGAAATTAAGTTTATAAGTCCCCAAAATTAAAACACTGATGTCCTCAAGGCCCAGTGCATAAAAGCGTTAGTTGAATCCGGTCTACTGCAGTGGTGAACAAAAATTTGGAAAATTTTGTTAAAGGTAGTTAACTGAGACATCCGGAAGAGGCATGGCACGTGGAACTAGAACAAAACTGAACCGGTCTCTTAGGTCTCTGGTCGGAACCCGGAAAGAAATGAGTATACACCAGAAATCAAAGGAAATAATACTAATCCTTTTGTATAAACTCTGAGGAAACAATAGAACATTTTATATCTGTATTCTCTTTGGCAATTCCATATTGTGTAATGGCTAACAAGCTTGTCTTGCTAGATCAATTACGACTGAATAGTGAGTTTGTTTCTCACCCATACTTTCGGCCTTGTGCCACATCTATGCTACGCTTAAAAATCACCATTCATATAGGATCGAACTTATTGTGGTTTGCAAGACTCGTTTGTTGGTGGCAAGATAGTCTTAACACAGATAGACAGAGAGGGTAAGACCTCCGAGTCTAGCTGAGTTGTGATATAGACTTTGACTGTAAGCGACGCAGAGAGGAACCCGGCCGAAGCTTGGCCGAAGGGCAAGGTTTCGTCCGGGGAGGGAGACAGGGCCTGAACCTGTCTAGGCGGTTTCAAAGGCTATATTTTTGGCCGAGCCTACGGGCTCGGAGATACCCACATTAAACCGGCCTTGTGCCATATTCAATCCTCGTGGGTGAATCGATAAATACTAAGATAGTCTTAACTCTATGTTCAGTTTCGACAGAGTCTTCCACAAAGCTACAAGCGTGGTCACGTAGTGATGAATGCCCTCATATAACGGTAGAGAAAAGCTGTAACTTATACGTAAGTAATATTTGAAAGATCCGCATGGAAAACAATTTTTTTCTAGAAAAAATTCTTTTATAGATGAAAAGAAAGAATGTTTATGTTAATTTTCCACATATCATAACGCTTATTTTTTTCAGAGTAAAACATTTCATTACCCCAAAACATTACCACTCAAAAAAAAAAAAAAAAAGAAAAGAAAAGGAAACAAAAATATTAGAATAAAATAAAAACGCACTATAAATTCTGACAATTTTGTCGAGACGTCTTTTATTTGGAACGTCTCCGCTCCCATATTTGCTGTGACATTTGGAAGTCTGTGAATTTCACAAGCGAGATGACGACTTGCGTAAAGAATGACACTAATGAAAACACACACACACACAAACACGCGCGCGCACACACACACACACAAACACGCGCGCGCGCACACACACACACACACGTACACATACAGACACACACATACACACATACAGACACACATACACACACAAACACACATATACACACACAAACACATACATAGACACACAAAAACACACACACATACACATACACACACACACGCACAAAAACGCACACACATACACACACATTCACACGCACACACATACACACACAATCACACACACAAACACACACACATACACACACGTACACACACAGACACACACAGACACTTATATACACACACACAAACACACACATACACACATGCACACATAAACGCACACACACACACACACACACACAAGGAAAAGCTTGGAAAAACTGACAGAAAAAAAATAGGGGATCCTACCTGAACTTAATAAAAACCGACAGTAGAAAATGTAAAGAAAAAGAAGAAATCTGATCCAGAAAAGAGGGGAAACCCTATCCGAAATCGTAGAGACCCAGATCTTTACCATGACAACAAATTTCGTGCATAAAGCGAAATTCAAGCCGTCCTGGGTAAGACAATAAACTATGTCCAACAGCAAGGCCTCGGATCAGGAGGTTTTGAGGAGCGTGGAACCACCTCTTAATTGCTGGTGTTCCCATGTCCACCCTGACGCGAAGTGGTAGCACCTTTTAGGGTCCTAGCTATGGGCAAATTGTTGACTCACATAATGAGGAAAGAAAGTTTGGAAAATTTGACATTCGCAGGACATATCGAAGGCAAGAGTGCCAGAAAGAAACTAAAAAAAACTGCCTATCGGTGGACGAATATTTTCTATGAAAATTTCTCGGACATTCAGGCTGGTAAATGTTATTAATACTGTTTATTATAAACAGAGCTTTTACTTAAATATTTGTATCTATAAAAAGAATGTATAAACATAAAAAAATGTCCATTATTCTTTTTGTAAATCCTTTCCAATTCTTTAGGGCTAAGCAGTGAAGATTTCTTTTTCGGAATTTTTAATCCGATTCTTAACCGTCTTCCTCTTCAGGACCTGAGTGCTTATGGCTCTCCACAACTTCCTACCCTTAGAACCTCTCAGCAATGTTTATCTTTTTACTATCTCCCACACTCCCTGTTTTGCCATCCATTTACACAAGCGCCATAGACAGTTTATTTTTAGTTTCTTTTTTTGCACTCTAGCATTCGATATGTCCTGTTAGTGTCAAATTTTCCAATCTTTCTTTCCTCATTATGTGCACCCCAAATTTCAACTTTCTTTTTTGATTCTAGGTATAAGTGTTCTCTTTTGATCCATTTTCCTTAAAAATTCCTCCGACTGTAGTATTCTCAACATCCTACTGTAGAGTTGCATCTTTGTTACCCCGGGTTTTAGCTTCATCTGTGAGGAAGTGTCTCGCGGTCTAACACACTTCATTTTTAAAGGAATTATCCTGTCTTTTAGCACTTTGTTTAGTATTTTTTTGGGGGGGGGGCGTCAAATACCATTCGTCTATGCATTGAATATTGCCGCCATATCTGGTCGGCTGCTGCTATTATATATCTCGAGATTCTTGACAAAATCCGAAAAGGGTCTGTAATGTGATCGACCCTAACCAGGCATCACGTCTTCAAACACTTTGCCAAAGATTCAATGTGATTTCACTCTACCTTTTCTACAAATATTTTCATGGCAATTATTTTCCACCTTGATGCCTCGACTGCATGAATTTAAACTTACTACTGGATTGGCATCTAGGTCTCGCCGTTTTACTGTTGAATTGGCTAAATGTTCTATTCTAATATGTTCTTCTCTTGCCCTTCTCGCTTGTGGAACTCTCTTCCGGTTTCTTGCATCTCTGCCACCTACAATCTTCAAAAATTTAAATGCAACGCCAATCGCCATTTTCTCTCTTCCTGATTTCTCTTCTTTTTTGTTCTTTAGCGTAAATAAGCTTTCTTATTCATTTTCGGCCCCAGTAATACCTTGCGTCTTAGCGGCATTTTCGCCTTACTTGGTGTGATTAAATATTTTGCGGTTTCAGTGCCACATTATCGTAAAGGCTAAATATAGCTTCAAGAAGCGAAGCCATGTCGAAATTAACTGTAAAAAAAACAGGTGTTAGTACAGGGTGACCATAAAATTCGTGTACACTTTAAAAAATTTATAACTTTATTTGTATTTGCGATAGAAATAATCTGTCAAAAATGTTATAAAGTTTAATGTACCTAGTTTTAAATATAGCTAAAATAACTAATGTGATTTCAGGCATTACTGTAAATCAGTTGGCAAATGTTTTCCGTGAACTGCAAAATCGTATTACCCTTTGTATTGGTAATGATGGAGGACATGTGGAAACTTAAATAAAATTTCAATAAAACTTTAAAAAATATAAATTTGCTTCTTTCTAATCCTCTTTACAAATTATTTCTATCGCAAACAAAAATAAAGTTATAAATTTTTTAAAGTGCACACGAACTTTATGGACACCCTGTATAATTCTTTTTTTTTTTAAATAGAGAGTGATTTTTTTTATCATCAATCATCAAAGACGATGATTGACAAATTTTGTAATTTACTAAAATTAACATTAAAAATGAGTAAAACCTTTTAAAAAATTGACGATATCTGTTATCTTGTGTTATTTTTAATGGCAATTTTGTTTATCGTTCAACGTCTTAAAATT